AGTTTTGCGAGATCCCGAGTTAGTTTTGCGAGATCTCGCAAAAGTCCGTCTTAATTTTTTTTTCTCCCATGTCCCCTGCGGGGCTCCGTACGTTTGTGTTGGAGCCCAAACACAAAAAACCTGTCCATTATGCTAGCAGTATCCAAGCACTGTTTTTGTTTTTTTTTCCTTTTCATACCGCGGCCCCCTCCTGCAATGGTTCTGCGCGCCCTCTAGGGGGCGGGCCCCACACTTTGGGAAGGTCTGGTCTAGCACAACACCTGGAGCTAAGGGGGCAAAACAATCGCATGAGTGCTGCTGTTTGACTGAGGAAGAATAAAGTAGTTGTGGTAAGTCAATCACACGACCACTTAAAGACAAAGTACCAAGGTGATATATACCAGTTTTTAAATTGTGTTGATAGACCACGTAAAACCAGAGTCATGATAAACAATATATACACTGCGTTTTTTCCTCAATAGTTTCGTCACGTTTACTGTCTAAGGACAGCGCTAGCAAGCACTCTCTGCTTATGAGCAAAACAAAAAACAAAAAAACAACAGGGGAAGTTTTAGGAGTGACAGTGAGAGAGAGAGAGAGGGACAGCAGAAAAAGAGACAGAGCAAGTTTTGAGATGTGAGAGATTTGTGACGTTTAGCATGTTTGCAGTGTGTAGTTAATGTGTTGTCTTGTGTAGTTCGTGTGTAGTGTTGTGGATAGTTTTGTGTTGTGTGTCAGAACAATGAGGCGACAGGAGTGATACACCTGCTGCTGTCAGACCTGCAGGTACCAGGCTGTGATGTTCTTCTTTATAGTGGACAGAAATTATTTTGTTGGAGTGGCACAAATAATTTGTGTGGCATCTTATTGAATGAAGAACAGCTGATTGTTCTGTAAATAGTTTGAAATGGTTATTTAAGAAATCAAGGTAAAAGGTAAATGGGGGGTAGGTGGGAATAGATGGGAAGAACAGCACCAGCAACAGCAATTGGCAACCAACATTAACCACAACCTCATGAAGCCTTGACTTCAAACTCTCTGTTGTGATGTTTTGATCTGTTGCCCCAAAATGAAAAACTGCCATGGAAGGAGAGCGGGGAGTTTTGGGGGTTTTAGTTAATGAACTGAAGCTTCTTTCCTCTGACAGGGGCAACATCAATGTTAGAAGTCAAAAATTAAATAAATGAAATAAAAAACAAGTCACTTCTTTAATAAATATCTTATTATTTTTTGCCAATTGTGTATAAAAAGGCGGCTGGGAAGTGTTTCAGGCTAAGGATATTACTTCCTTATATCAATGACACAGTATTGTTGTTAAGAATATTTTTAAGATTTTAAATGTTGCTGAAAATGAAACCGAGCTGACATGATGTACCATTTTTAATCTTTCAGTTTCCTCCTCAAATACCCAGTCATGACTGCATCTGTTTCCTGGGGACAGTTGTGGCTCAGGAAGAGGTATAGTGGGTCGTTTATCAAATTACACGGCATGCATGGTAACGTATCCTTGCAGTGTGTGTGTGTTAAGACAAGGTGTTTTGGTTTAGAAGTCACTAAATGGGCATAATTGGGTGAATGTACTGAAAGCACTTTGAGTGTGCAGTTAGTTAGAGAGGAAAAGCAGCAGTCCATTTACAATATGATTACATTATACTGTGAGACACTGTGTCTGTACATTTCTTTTTTGTTTTCTTTTTTTTGCCTGTTTTGTTCGGTACTTTAGCAATCAGAATTATTGTCTGAAGGCCAAAAAAGATGCTCAGCGGATTTGTTTTTCCAAGTGGGTCATTATGGCTTTATATTGGTATATTGGTCCATTTGATTGATCTTTATTATTGTTGTTATTATTATTATTAATAATAATTTATTTATTTATTTATTTTAAGTTATTAGAGACTGGGCAGACATGAATAGGGGATAGGAAAGGGAAAGAAAGAAAAACAGAGGGGATGAGGGTCAGTGAGCGAAGACACTAAAAAATAATCCTCCGGATCACCTGTTGGAACAAAAAAGAAAACAAGCAAAAAGAGAACAACACAGTAGGGAGACCACAGCAACAACCAAGGTAAGTAGAGTAACAGTAAATAATAAATATTGAATGTTACTGAACAGCACACAAGACCGACAGTGCACAGTATGCTTTGAGGCAGCAGCCAAGGAAGATATAGTGTTTTTCTGTGAGCACCCGTGTGTACACCTGTTGTCACAACCTCAAAAGGTTTCTCCATGCAACTATCTGCTAGAGGGTGTGGGGAGTCATAGCCCTGCCCCCCAGGGCATGAAGCAGGTATGGTGGAGATCCAGGCCCCAGACATCCAGAGGCCCCCTAGAGTGCGAGAGTCCAAGCAGGGATACTTGGGGGGTGGCCCTGCCGAGGGTGCCCCGACCCCCGGAAGGGGCTCAACCAAGCCACGGGCGCCAGGAACCACCAACACACCAATGGACGAGGGCATCAGCCACTGCCAGGGAGTGTGGTGAGGGGAGATAGGCCCCCACACCTGGGGGGTGGGGGGCTGAGATGTTCCCAGAGAGGTGGAGTCCAAGACCCAACCTGACATGTTTAAACCATGTTTAACACAGCGGCTCAAATTTCATCTGAAATTACTGATCTTGATCTTGCTCTGCCTCTCACATTGTTGCGATCCTTCATCAGTGTCATCTTTGCAACATCAGTGATGTCTGTGCTGTAGTTTTGTGTAACTTCTCCCTCGTGTGGTTAACATTAGACATCTCATGAGAATCACTGTGCGAAATGTGACAAGACACTCAAGTTGAAAACTATTGTAAGCCACAAAAAGCTTGAGACAAAACATTGAGACTGTGCTTAAAAAAATGGGACAAAAGCTGCAAATTTAAAGCATCCAATGCACCAAAAGCTGGATTTCATACACTTTAGGCAATAATTTCCCTTTCTGTAGTTTGTGTAAGCATTTTTTTAAATGCTATATGGTGTGTCGTGGCTTTAAACCAGTGAAAATTAACATTAAAGTGTAATGTGTTTCTGAGGTGAGAGGCCAAAACTGAGCTAGCATCCTGTGCCTGTGGTCGATGACTCAGTTCCTGAGAGCGAGGGAAACATGAGAGGGTGGAGATACATGCAGATCATATAGAGAATATGAGAGCGAGAACAGTGGGTTGAGATGTTGAGAAATAAGTGTGTGTGTGTGTGTGTGTGTGTGGGGGGGGGGGTTTAGGGTAGACTGCAGCAGGTGGAGAAAAAGAGAAGTAGACACAAAAAGTGTGAAGAAAAACAGCATGTAAGCATGCATCTAATCTGATGCTCTCCTTTTTTCAGTGTTTTCACCTGATTATTATTATTACAGAGATTATAATCCCAACCTGCAACTCAAGGACCAGTGACCAACCCAAAACTGATGCCGGGTCATAGGTTGTAACCCACAGTCCAGGTTCAGCTTCATCCTAAAGTTGTTGGATGAAGGTACAAAGCTTTAAGATTCTTCTAAATAAAGGGCCCACATCAATCGACCGCCCTGTTTTCAGCATGCTTTAGGTTGTGTAGCGTGCATTAACAGAACAAGCATAGAGCACTAAGCACAAATGAAACAGGCACTGAGTGACAAGAGACACAGTGAGGGCGGGAGGAGAGGGTGAGAGAGAGGAAGAGAGAGAGAAAGCGGCAAGCAGAAAGCTCATAGCTAAGGAGCGAGAGCAGCATCAGAAGAAGAGGATCGCTTTAAAAGGGACAAAATAAGGAAAAAACAAAGAAGGAAACTCACCAGTCCTGTTGATGGTCATACGTCAACTTTAAGTGGCTAAAATCTCAGTGAGTAGGAGAGAGAGAGAAAAGTAAATTCACCACCACCATGAAGCTGTGGAGCCGTGTCTGCTTCCTCGGTGAGTTTAACTCAACTGTCACACAGGTTTCATTTCTGATTTCACGCTCTATTATCGCTAGAGGAAGTTTGAATTTGTGGTAAGTTAAAAATAAAATTAAAAGGGAACAGAAAAGCTTGCGATCGGGGTCCTTGTGCGCGCTCAAAAACTCAGAAGCTTTCAAGGGCAACGTTCAGATTATTTTTCCGGTCAGATGGAGACTGACCGTAGGAGGAGGAGACTCGAGTTTTTACTCCACATCAAACCTTTCTTTGACCAACACAAGGAAAGCCTTGATTTGCTCTTAAATCTGCACTTGCATGCATTTGATTACATTTCAGTGTCATTCAGGGACTCGAGAAGCATGACATATCCAGGAAGTAATCTGGGAGCACACGAATCTCGCCATATGCACGCCCTTCTTTGAATCTGCTTTTTGTGCAAATCAATGCAAATATCAACAGATTAGCAGAATGTATTAATTCAACATGAGTCTTTTCTCTTTAGCTATAATTATTTGAATTATTTGTCTTGCTACAAATTTAAATTTGTCAACCACAAAAAACGTGAATGCCCCTGTAAACATGAAAGTGTTTTGGTTGCTGTAATTACTATAAATTAGGACCACAGAACATGTATGCAGTACATATAACAATGTAATATACAGATACGGTTTGCAGGCTTACAGAGGAACTTTGGTAGAGAGGTCAAAGGTCAGAGTGCAGAGTGACTGAAATTTTGTAACTGACTGATTGATATGATTTAAAATGATATATCTCCTGTCCTGCTTTTCTCACCATTCTCTGCTCTCATTTTCACACCAGCTGTTCTGTTTTTCACACGTATTTGCAGCAGCAGTTAACAAGCGTGCTTTGTCAAACAAGTGACCGTAAATGAGCACGTTTAGTTGGTTTGTGTATCTCACACAGAAGCCACAGAATCTGGGTGACATTTACTTGTTAGGGTAAAGTGTAGAATCATGTTGCACACCCACAGTCTGCGTCCTGAGGCAATTTCAGATGTTTATATTTAATTTGATCTCTTTCCATGACTAACTGGCTCATTTTTAACCTCATGTTTATCTGTTGCTCATTCTCTCTCTTTGTTTCAGTTCTAGCAGTTTCTCCTATTTGCCTTGGAGAAGATGGTACAAGTCATGTGCAAACCAGCGGTATGTTCCACTGGAAATTAGATAATTATTTAATTAACATAAAACAAGCTGAGAATATCAAGGTTCTTGCATACCACAAGTCCAAATACAGATGGACCTGTGGTATGAAAATGACAAAAAGCAAGAGTCAGACTTTTTGAAAGCATTTAGGATCATTTAGATGTTTAATTGAATAATTCTCTGACGTCCTTAATATGTTTTGTTTATGCGTGTAAAGTCTATGAACCCTTACATGTAATATTAGGCTGTAGAAATAAAAGTCACTTGATCTGATAACCTGAAAATCAATTTATATTGATTTCCTTTCTGGTGTTAAGTAGAGAATATTGGAGTATTTTTGTCCTTAAAAAAGTAGCAATGCTACAGTATAAATGTCCTCTGTAATAAGAACAACTCATGTATTGTGTAAATCTATTCAGATTTAGACACTAACCCTGAACCTGGTCAGCACTCTGTAGCTTCTTAAACTACCATAAAAATCTGCATTGGTTTATCTTCTAAAGCAGACTGCTGCTCTTGTGTTGTTGCATAACTGTGTCACTCTATTTATTTTTTTATATCACTACATTATTTGCAGAGTTGTAATAGTTTATTATTTTACAGTGTTATTTTCAGAGGGGGGAGGTTAACTGTGGCCTCAAAGTCATTTTATGCGTCTCTCCTTTATGTCAGGTACAGTTTCTCCTGTCCCCTCAATCGCTTCCACACACGTTTTAAATGGAACTGAAAACGAGACGCAAAATCACACAGACCCCGAGAGTACTACAGCAGAGGAAACAAACAGTATGGTAAGTCAATTATCTCAAAGTTAAATAGCAAATCTTGGTTCTCAAAGTGTAAAAAGACAAAGTCTGGTTTGGGAATTCATGCTTATGAGTTCACATTATTGGCATCCATTCAGTGACCATAAACTTCAAATAGGCTTTATTTTAAGAAGGGAATAAAAAGTAACATCTACAGCAGTCTGGTTCTTTTTAAAGTGCAAAAAGCCACCTACTCAGGCTTTATGCACAGTTACATGGTGGAGCTATTTCCTGGTGCACAACATGCAGTCACTTCCTGAAGTCTTGTTGTCACTATGAAGCTGCGTAGTTAAAAGCAGAGTAGCTGCACAGACGTAAAGAGAGTTGGAGAACCACAAGCTGTCGTTTACTGCCTTTAATCACAACTCTGATCATCACACAACATAAAGAGCAATTATTCAATTTCTGTTTTCACAAATTCAGTTTAATCTTTGGATCATTGACTTGATTCTCCATCAACAGCTTTACATCCCAAATAGTTATTTTCAGCTACTGATGAAGAAAAATACAACAGTTCAGCAAAGGATGAATAACACTGAGCACATCAATTTCATAGCTTTGTTTAATTCCTTTTAAAATGTAAATAATTAATTACAACACCCAAGTCAAGGTAGGATACCAAAAGTTAAATTATTTTTTTAATTTGCCAAAGCTCATAGTAGTAAGTTAGTATTACTAGGTGTGGTACTTGATTAAAAAAAATAATCTAATTAACTGGAGGCTTTGTAATTAATTAATCTGATTAATTGCATTTAATCACACAAGAAAATTTGCCCCAAAGCGCAAATGTTTTTTTAATCCACAAGGTTTTAGTGGGCGACAGAATCAAATAATAGACATGGACATGAATATTGTGAACTTAAGCACTTTTAATTTCTGGAGAGAAAAAAATAGAAAAAAAATAATATCCCTTTCCAAAATTGGGCGGACTTAAAAATAAAGTGCTATTTTAAGTACTTTAAGTACATTTTCGAAATGGTATTGTCTTTAATTAATAATAGTAATTTCGATTTCAAGTGCAGTTTTTCTTCTTAAAAAATAAGGCAAAAACATAAAAGGTTATTTGACCAGCTTCACCTTTAAACTCTGAGTAACCTTAGCCAACATTATTTTAACATTAGGCTAAAACAGTGTGATCATCGAACATTTTAGTGCAAGAAAACAGCAAACCCATTGGACTCACAATACCTCCATGCTTGGTTACTGTCGGTCTGTTTCAGCCAGTTACTTAGACAAACTAACCTGTTCACATTTTCAAGGCAGCTCTCTTTTTTGTTACTATGTGAGCTGCAAATGAGAACAGTCTCCCACATGGGACAGAAGTGGCAGCACTAATCAAATACCAGGACAGACAGCTGTGGGTGGGTCCCTGCTCGACTGGACCACCACTGCAGTGGACAGTCTGTCTCGCTGATGAAGACAATGAAGACAGGAGGAGGGTCTTTGTCTTTGCTGGCTCCTTTGTGTTGGCATTTTTACACTGTTCCTGCAGCAGGGCCTCAAGGCTGGTCCAAACCTCTTCTCGCTCTACCCTTGCAAGACATGTGAAATCCTTAAAGCGTGGGTCAAGCACAATAGCTATCTTGAGCCACTGATGGTTGAGTGTAGCTACACGTTGGGATAGATCCTTTGTGAAGGCAGACTTAAATTTCACCATGTAGTTTGAGTCATCATCAGAGACCATGGTGTGATGCAGGCGGCAGAAAGCAGGTAAAACCACTGAACATGAGACATATGAAGCTCAATCACAAACCGGTAGTAGACAGTTCAAGATATTCATTATTTATCCACATAATAACTGTAAGTATAGGGCTTTTTGAAGAAACTGTTAAAAATAGTTTTATTTACCTGCATGGCTCAAGGACAGTCAGCAGCTTTAGGGGTTTTACCAGCTCTGATGGAGTTAAAATGACTAGCTTGTGCTTTTGTTTGTCTAAAGCAGTAAAAACAGGCTCTTGATTCTTTAGTAGACGAGAAACCATATCCAGCGCTGAATTCCACAGTGTGGAAACATCCTGTATGAGTGGCTCTTTCTGTTGCCCCAGTCTGGTTTGTTCCTGGTGTAGTTCCTCCATATTAGCAGGGCTGTCTGTAATGCATCTAATTTTGCTTGTTTATCAATGTCAAAAAGCTGATGAATTTTACTTAAAATAGTCTTTCGCCATGGCAGTTGGAAAGTTGGATCACCTGACGCTAACTGTAGCACATTTTCTAACACTCTATCTTCTACCACTGATAGTGGTCTACAGTCCAGAGCAATCCATCCAAAGTTTGTTGACTTACTAATATTGGTCCTGAAGCCTGAAGTTTGGGCTGCTGACACCTTTTGTTGGTACTTGGACTGCTAGCGCTAACAGCTCCCACAGTTTCTGTGCTCGCTGCAACATGTTTTGCATTTAGATGGTACCATAAGGTTGAAGTGCTTCGGTGGTATGCAAACTCCTTTTTGCACACTTTGTACAAAACCATGCTTTTACCAAGGCTTCCCTCGTGTAGTCTTTTGAAATGAAATTTGCCTCCAATCAGTCCTAGCAACACAATTTCTTCTGATTATGTGGCTCTGATGTGTGCATCAGTGTAATTGGTATAACAGGAAATCGTGCAATGAAAAAAGTTCAAAATTCAAAGTGCGATTAAATGTGTTATTTTTGTTTAACGCGTTATCAAACTAATTAATTGCAATTAACGAGTTAAATTCCCACCCCTAATTATTGCTAATAATCTGTAGTAGAGCTCAGGTACTGAAGTGGGTTTCCTGACGGCTGAATATTTCCGGTTGGTTACTGTGGTCTCTAAACAACCTGCCCCTTCTCTGTACTAATACCAAAACAGTATTAGCAAGCCGCATGCTACATTTCCCTCTTGTTCTGCTGCAGAAAAAGAGCACATGTCCCTGATTGCTGCCATGGTAAAATACAGCTTAGGTTGAAGTTAGCCTGCAGGTGAATGGCCTAATTTTTTGTCTTTGAATGAGCCTGTATTTTATAACGAAACCAGAATAAAATGACTAATTATTCAGTTAAGCTTCAGCTTGAGGGTCTTCTTTTTACAGGAATGAAGTACATCAAGTGTAAGTCACTGTTGAGAGGAAAACTTTCTGTTTTTATGAAACATGCAAAATTTGACAGTTTGAACTTTAAAAAAATGGTAAATTAAATGATCTGCTGATTGTCAATGATTTTTATATTCAGTGAAATTATTATTCGGGTTTTTTTTCCTCTTCTGTATCATTTCATTTAAAAAAAAATCATGTAATCTAAGCAGGTCACATATGACAGACATACATCAGTGTTTAGTCTAGCAAAAAAAATTGGCAAATAATACATTAATAAATTCATTTGTAAATAAATTAGTTGATACCAATAACAACAACACATTTTTTTTCTCTACACAATAGACTAAAGCATGTTTAAAGTCCTCTTAAGGCGGTTGTTGTGTGGTACTAATAGAGAACGACTTTTTTGATATTTCTCATTTGATTTGTTACTTCTGTAAATGCTTTCCTGAGGAGTTTATGGTCTCTGATGCTAGTTTAAAATCATATTGAACTCAACATAATGTCCTTTTTAAAATTTATAGTCTAATTTGAGTAAAATAGATGAGAAAGGAGTGTATGAATTAGGTTGTGGCTTCTGCACGAGTATGCAGTGAGCTCTGTTTCACATCCAGACTCATCCTTCAATGGTGACGTTAAATTTCAAAAAAACAAGATGGCGCCTAGAAAAGCTTTCAACTCAAGCCTTCGAAATAAGACTTCTAAAACCACTGGGTGATACCACGGTGGCTACAGTCACCTTTATTTTTTTTATTCACAGTCTATAGACATGGCTTCCCACATCAAAAAATAACTCACTTGAACTACAAAGACTCCTCACAGGAAGCCTTTTGAATCAGAAACTACTGCTGTACAGAGTCAGATACCTTCATATTCAATGAGTGAAACAGAAATCAGGCAGATTACAGGATGAAATGTTTCAAACCAAAGGATGTTTGTTACTCTTCACAGCCTGGAGGCACAGTGGCTACTAATCTAACAAGTACTAATGTACCAACGAAAGAGACTACCAGCATAGTCACACAAGGAGGAGCAGACCGTGGTGGTCAAATGACTCAAACGACACCAAGTACCAGCTCAGGAACTACAGGTACCGTCACATATTCAGAAAGCGCATGCACAAGTTCTGCGCCCCAAGTTGTCTTCCTGTGCATCAAACCACAACACTCGCAGGCTCACACGCTCTGTAGCTGTAAGCAGGCTGCAGACACAACCACTCAAACACTCTCACCCTATTCTAACACACTGTCAAACTGAATATTCAGACACAAGCGAGTGGCACGTCACCGTATCACATAAAAGGACCACAAAGCAGCACACTTGTACCCCTTTTTTCCTCTTTCTTTTTTAAAATTAGGACTTAGATATCAATTCAGGTTAATCATTTGAGCCATATTGTCAAGCAGAAGGAGTAAGTTTCTGCTTGACTTTTGATCTCTTGTATCTAAAATGATATATAGATGCTTAGTGCTCAAAACAAACATGTAACATGTAAAACATCTTTATCTATCATTATCTATCATTTTAAAGACAATTAAAATAATAAATTTAACTAAGATTTTGAATAGGGGTTAGTCACATTATAAATAATCCAAAAGAAGCAACATATCAGCAGAAATATGTTTGGAAATCACAAAGTCAACATGAAATAGAAATGGGTTCATTGCTTTATTTAAACTTGGTCATTAGCTAGATAGTTCTTGTTGTGGATTATAAAAAGTAATTTTAATGTATAGTTGAGAGAAAAACATATCGTCCTATTGAAAAGAGAAATACACTCCAAGTTCAGTTTGAACTTTGTTGGACAGCCTACAATCTAACCAAAGTTCGGGGTATTTTAATTTGCAGGCTTTAGGGTATTTCCTATAGACAGGACTAAAACAAAGGCAGACCTGGTGAGGGGTAGATAGAAAAGTACATAAGTAGTAGATATAAAAGTATCATTGTAATAAAATTGTAAACAAACAAGTATTAAAAGGGGCCCAGTACTGATCCTTGTGGAACACCTTAACCGATTCTTTGGGATATTAAACCAAAATAATCCTTAAAGTTTTTTTTTTCTTTGAAAAGCAGTTTCTGAATAGTAATCACATGGATACTAACAGGACATATGGATAGATGGAAAGGAGTTACTGACTTAAATTGAATCACTATGCTTAAATAGTGTCTGCTAAAAGGAAAGTCACTTGTAAATGTTGCAAATTAACTAAAGACAAATCAAATGCTCATCCTCTTGTAATTTAAATATTCAGATATATGCTACGCTTTTACCTATAAAGTAAATTTGCTACACTTTTCTATTATAAAAAAAACCATAAACTGACTTTAGCTGAATTACTGAGCCTGCTGTTTGTTTCTTTTAGCACCCCCTTCAGCTGGCTCGTCTGCAGGTAAGAATCTTTATTATATTATCTATTATGTATTTAAACATCTGTCTGTTTTATTCTGCTATCATTTTCAACTGTCCAAATGGACACTAATGTTGTAGTGAACTTCTTAAAACTACAGTGGCCAGTAGTTTCAGTGGTAATAAGTAGGATCTAGAATCTATATTTAAAAAAACAAAACAAAAAACAAAACAGTGAAATTTTTTAGATGTTAACGGATTTTTGGCACATATCAGTGGTTTCCTGTGAGCTGCCTTGGGTTGTGACTGGCAGCACTTACTCAGGATGTGCCTGGTTACCACTACTCAGCCACAGTTCCGCCTAATGCAAGTTTTGACACGACATTCCACACAGAACAATGGCCAGTGCCAAAAGTAGGCTAGATTTGGCTCAAATATGTTTGCTGCCTGGGCGAGACACCTTTTAGTTTTTCTTACTTGGTGGGACTAAAAAAAATCAACCATAAAAAATGCTAGTGTCCCCCTGTGGTTGCAATACTGATTACATGACAAGAAATTGACACTGTAATTTCTCTACAATTCTACTTTCACATTTTTAAATACTTTTATATATGTTTTAAGTGATGTTCTAAGGAGTTTAACAACATAAGAATAACAGCATAATATTAATTTTTAGAGCCCATTCCCTTTCTTGGGTGGTCCCAATGTTATTACCACTTCTTTTAAAACAGCTCTGCTTATCTTTGTCTCTAGGTTATGTTGTCCTGGCGCTTATCATCATAGTGATTATAATTCTGTGTATCATCCTCTACCTCTTGAGGAGAGCCTCCAGGGTAAGAAAAAGAAATGGAAGTAGAAATTGTTTTCTGTGCGCTTAGCCTTTGCTTATTATATTACAATTAAAACAGGTACACACACATCATGTTCGCTTATTAGTATCTTGCTTGCTTTTTTGTTTGTTTGTGCAGACATATTCATTTGACCTCCAGCGTCCAAATCCTGTTGGTCATCTCAACCAGCCCACTGGCACCTTTGAGCCAGTCTACCTGGATGATCTGGGTGTGTTTCTGTGGAATTACATTTTATATATACATGTCTGCACTTAAGGTGATTCTAATGAGTTTGCTTTGGTGTTTGTATGTGTGTCACATCTCAGAGCGACCGGTACCTAAAGATATTGAAGCCACCGATGACCTTTCGCCTCCACCGGTCGCTAATGGCACGAGTCTACAGTCGGAGGAAAAGGACTCCAGTGGAGAGAACGGTACAAAATGAAACTGTTTTTCAGTTCTCAAAGAAAAAGTTTAAAAATTTTCAAGTGAATAAAATGTAAAGCTCCGGACTATAAATTATATTTTTGACGAGCACGCGAAAATCCTTCATGTCCTTCATGGCCATCATAATAGCACTAGAATTTTCATATTCACCAGATCTCAATAGAACACATCTGAGAAATTCTACTACTGTTTCGCTACTAGGAGCACATATTGGTTAATTATAGTCCTAAAAAACACTTTGAGTCCTCAGGTAGATTAGAAAAGTATTATAGAACCACTGCTACACTTGATGTAACCAAACTCTGAGCATGAAACCACAGCCACTGTGCACCAGTCACACTCTGTTCTATACTTTAAATCCATCACAGTACAGCAAACTAACCCGTTTACGTTTCACTCTATGATAAAAACATAATGTCATATGTACAGACCCAATATCTGATTTAACCACACAATGACTTACATGTGAGCTTTAAATCAGCAGTCCTTACCTTTAAATCTAACCTCTCTTCTTCCTCTCCTGTCCAGTCTTTCTTATCGTTTTCTATATCTGAGTGAAGTTAGCTCTCTTTCTTTTCTCTTCCTGTGAAATACGGCAGCTGGATTTTTATCTACAGCTCACTGTGAGACAAACTGCACACAAGCAGTTTTTGTATTTTCTGATGTTTGTTTAGCTGATAAAAATGCTGCATGTAAAGTTACCTGACAAATCATGTTACTACTTTTATGCTCGCTCCACTTGTGTAAGGCTAACTAGATGCTAAAGTACTGCAGCAACTTAGGGACACCTGCAGTCATTTCTGTGTTGTTTAAAAATGTAAACATTAAAAAACTACTAAGTTTAAATTACTACTAAGTAAAGTACAGATACCTGAAAATTCTACTTAGGTATAGTAACTATGTATTTGTACTTCATGACTTCTTGCCTCTAAGTACTGTGAATGCATTGTCCTTTGCAAGAAACCACACTGAGAGATTTGAGCTTTGTGACACTGTGTTTTACTCATGATCAGCATCAACACTAAAGTAGGATTTAAACAATGCTCTGTTTGTAATAAGCGGCCCAGAGAGGTCCAAGAATATATGCCTCCACACTACGCCATTATTTCTAAACAGCCTAAACTACAAGGCAAGATATTTTGCCATCAATAAGTTATTTTTTTACCCAGAAGTAAAGTAAAATTCTTTGGACAGTAAGAATACAAATTACAAATAAGATTGCAAATTACATGTTTCGAAAAAAGTACTGTATGTTGTGAGAAGGGCTTTGAACTACACTAAATAATATCTTTAGCATTGCAGGGATTACCCAAAACTATGCAGCACTAAAGAAAGTTGCACCTTATCTTACAAATCCTGTTTGTCTTCTGTTTGCCCTCTCTACTCAGCTCCTGAGGAACAGCCAGAAGCAAACGGTGTGGAGACTTCACCTGCTGAAAACACCACTCCCTCTCTGAGTAGCGATGAAGCTGACAAGATATCCAACCCACCGAGCAGTACCAGCCTTTTCTTTGATGCTATTGGGGAGCAGCAGAATGAAAACAACAACAACCCAAGTAAGATTTTTCTTTAATAATGCAAATACAAACACAAAGCAGTACGGTCATTTCTCTGTTGAATTTTCAGAAATCATGCAGGACTTGCATGAGAAAGTTTACCGTGAAGCTCAAAAATATAACTCGCTTCTATGTATGTCTAAAGACAAAACATAAAATATTCACTGAAATTCTTTGTATACATATGGCTCAACTCTTTATGGTAAATGGCCTGTATTTGTATAGCGCTTTACTTAGTCCCTATGGACCCCAAAGCACTTTACACATTCAGTCATCCACACATTCACACACAGGTGATGGCAAGCTACATAGTAGCCACAGCCACCCTGGGACGTACTGACAGAGGCGAGGCCTCCGGACACTGGCGCCACCGGTCCCTCTGCCCACCACCAGTAGGCAACGGGTGAAGTGTCTTGCCCAAGGACACAATGACTGAGACTGTCGGAGTCGGGGCTCAAACCGACCACCTTCCGATTACAAGACGAACTGCCAACTCTTGAGCCACGATTGCCCCTATATTTATTCCAATGAGTGCTGCTAAACAAATTGTTTTATGCGGCAAAGAAAAGCTGCCAGTTGTAGTCAACCATGATTACAATTAAAAAGTTAATAGGCTTTAGCCTTGTCATATTATTTACCATGACATTCATGCTGATAATGAGTGTATGGAAACGTCCAACCACAGCTGTATATGAGACTCTTACTGTGGTCGCTGGTGTAAGGAGTGATGTGAATTATGTCTCCCTGATCAATCCCTACCTCCAAATGTGGACTTTTTTCCTGAAATGTTTTTACTTCATGCAAAATTCAAAAGGTAGATCTACGGTGGCAACAGGTCAGTGACTAACTGAAGGTAGAGACCATTTGGCTTTAAATGAAAATGTCTGCATTTTAAAAGTGTTGGCTGCAGAAGTGATGCATCAGTTTTACTCTAAAAGTGAACATTGTCTGTTTCTGTGGCACTTTTTTAATGTTTTACTGCTGCACAGTGATTAGGTGTTTGCAGATAAGTTGGCATTTTCCATTTTGCAATCCACTGTCTTCTTCAATCCCAATCTTTGTCCTCTGTCACAGCAGTTTGCTCCAGTGACCCATTTGTTGAAATAAACCTGGACGAGCCGGCATGGTGCGATCAGCTCCTCAATTCTTCTGAAGGTTCTTCCTCGGTCTTCCCCTTCTCTCCATTCTCCTTATCCTCCTCTTCCTCTTAGCACCTTGAATGTTATCCTCTTCCATCAACATATAGGCAGAGACTGTCTTTTGTAGCACATGGACATGAGCACAACATGTGTTTTTTCCCAAAGCTAGTATGGATTGTGAAGTGAACAACCAAGGAATTAACATCAACCTGTAAACATGAAGCTAGCTTTAACTGATTTCTTATTGTGTTTTTATATGTTTTTGTTCAAATTTATTGGTCTCATTTAGTATTTTTTCTAAGACTATATGAAGGACTTTAAACTGATTTTAATTGAATTGTTTGAAACTGAGCAATTTGGGAAGCTCATGGAGGCAGTCCAAAATTGCATCGAAGAAAAAGAAGGATTGAAGAAATGTTAACTCTTTTTACCCAAATCACAACTTTTCCTTCACTTAACTGACTTATTATTATTGTTGCCTAACCACACTGCAAACTTCATACCAAAGGAAGTAAAATAAGCAAGGTAGCTTATTTGTGACATCTAGACTAAGCAATAACACCTCAACTTTTTTTTTTTTACAAATATCATCACTTCATGAGCGTATAGATTGGCTGCAGTTCCTCTCAGATCTAACATCCTTTGAAGTAGGCTAAATGTTTCTCAGAAGAGTTGATTAACTTTTTGTACAGTTTAATATTGCAATAATAAGTTATGGTTGTAATCCCAAGACGCAAATGGACATACACAAGAATGATGCTTCATTTGGGAACCACATCTCATTACCAATAAACATAAAACTAGCTTTAACGCTTCCTTATGATTTTTTTGTTTGTTTTATACATTATCAGCACATCAAACTTAAATCAAATGAGTTTTTTCCTAAAATGTAGCATTTTTCTACTCCATTTTATTTACTAAAGCATCATAAAACAAGATTAAAGTTAGCTTTAGCAGCGACAACTGTTACTCTCAAATTATCGATGTAGGCTAGTTTCCCCTAAACCTACAGTGAGATTTGTGAAATTTCTGAACTATAAAAATACACTCTGTGTCATAATTGCTGTAAATATTTTTGTACACGATATATTTTTTTTGTAGAATTCTGTGAACTATTCACATTTATTCAAGTTCTATATTTTAATTTTGTGACTCTGGAGGTTTCCATTCTACTAGACGTTTAAATGCTTTCATTTTTTTTAACCTACATTTATTTTGTCAATTTTTTTATAAACTGGTTTCTTTTCAGAAGCTAACTAAAAATACATTTCACCACTGCCATTTTGCTCAAAGTGCTAATTCAAACTGATATATAAATATATAATTTTCTGACTAATGTTAAAAAAACAAACATTGAGAAGTGTTATTTTGTTTCATGTTAAAAATCAAATTGATTCAAATAAAACTATTTTTTTCAGAATTTCACTGTTATCTCTTCTTCATTCTCTTTATTATCCTGATGGTTAAAAATGTCTCTCGCTAATATTTGGGTTTAATTCTATTTGCTGCCTTACTCACACCAAACCTTTTCAGAAAGTCATCTGTATATTCTTTGGTCCATATCAAAACTATAAAATAATTTTGACTTACCTATCTGTGAGTATTTATGCTTCTTCTTGTGGCCATGACCCTCAGGTCTCAGTGTCTTCAATCACTTTATTAGTGTTAAATAGCTGATGTTTTGTTTTTGTTGATTTTTACCCAACACAGAAAGCCTTGGTCAAGCCAGTATTGTTTCTTCACAGAGCCAGCACACCATAACAAAAAATACTTTTGTCAAATCCTATAATTAACTTCTTTAATGATCATTTTGCAGGTTGTAAAAAAAACAGAAAATATATTTTAAACAAGAATTTGGAATTAAATTATTTGGTGTTGATGAGATGTAAAATCATCAAAGAAACTTGGATTTATTACTTGTAATCTGAGAAACTCATCTCTACAGCTATAAATAAGTCTTGTGTCTGCACTTTCTTTCTGAATTATGGCAAACACCACATCAGAGGTGGTGCTGTCAGTGCCATTCCCAACTGTGTTGGGTGTTAAACTCGATCTCTGAGTTGATGAGCAGCTGCTGTAAAAGACAAAAAAAGAAAGAAAAAAGAGAGAAAGAAACAGTGTCCAGCATGAGCATGTTTTGATGTTTGTCTTACATGTATGAAATGTGTTTTAATTATGAAAGCTGATCTTGACTAATAATAAAATTCTCAACAATTAAACTCCATCAAGTGCAGATTAAAAGTCCAGCCAGTGAAAGAGTGAAAATTGAAAAGTCTATTAATTCTACTGAATAAACTTACCAGTGATTTTGAGATCACATTTTGCTGAACCTGAGGAGTAGTTAGTAAACACTGCACAAACATAAAGACCCGAGTCATCAGTCCTGAGTCTGGACAGTTGAAGTCTGATTCGTCCTTCTCTGAGGGCGTCTTTGTCACTCTGGACTCGTCCTGAAAACTTTTCATCCCGAGACTCTGACACCTCAAAATAATGAACAAAATTGTACAAGACTACTATTTTTTCTTCAATTTTCTGATAACAGAGGACACTA